TTTACTCTAACTTTGGGGCACCATAATTTCAATACCTAAATCAGTAAATTATATTGATATCATCAGAATAACCCATAATATACAAAGATTAAACAAATATGTAATGTAAACACACTAAAATTATTAAATATTTTCTATATCTATACGGGGATCGTCTTGTCCATTTACTATCAAGGGACCCCCTTAACAATTTAATATCTGGGGCCTCTCCTGTCAATTTACTATCAATGACCCAATTTTGTCCATTTAATATCAGTGTATGTTCTGTCCGTTTATTATTAAGGGCCCCTCTCTAAATTTAATAACATAGGATATGAAGGGGCCCCTTGCCAAAAAACAAGGTATGTGTTTCTTATGCCTCATTATGTATATGATACTGGTATAATACATTTTTATGCTTACAAAACATTTACTATTATTTTTCAATTTTAATGTGTGTTTAAATTCTGTCATACAGCTTTAGGGAATCTTCTGATGACAGTCAGGGCTCACTGTGATGATATATAGGGACCTTTCCCTGTCTGTCATTAAAGAGGCCCTTAACTAGCACTAGAGGTGCCAACCCTGACTATCATTAATATATTCTAGTTCATTTTTATATTGAACTTTACTGTGATGGGGGCTCATTCATCATTATGTAGTTTCTACTACATCAAATTTGGCTGATGATGGGATGATTTTCATTAGATAGGTGTTTTTTGTCTACAATTCATAACAATTTTAATAGCAGGAAGGCATTCATTGGAAAAATGGGGTGCAACTGCACCAAATTTACCTCCCATTTTGATGGTCCTGCAATAAAAATTTTCAATTTTTATGTAGAGCTTGTAGGTTGGAGGAGAAAGTGGAGACTATTCTAGACAGGGTAGAGACAAGGGATAAAGAAAAGGGTAAACTGGGAAATGGCAGCAAGAGTTAGATGACCTTAATCTTTTCCTTGAGAAGGATACAATACCCAAGGACAACTTTCAGGAAGTTAAAAACAGTACTAATAGGGCTAGTAATACTGGATTTAATCATATTTAACAGATTTCAGCCTTTAGCTTGAGGAGATGAGGGAAGGATAACAAAAGAGACAGATAGGGATAGGAATGAAAAACATGAGGTTATTGTTATAGGTGATTCATTAGAATGACATGTGGATAGGAATGTCTGTGGGGTAAATAGCAAAAAAATAATTAAATTATGCTATCCACAGTGGAGGATATAACTGACAGAACAAGTGATACAGCAAAGGGTGCTAGCATTGATGCAGTCTTTATAGTGCACTTAGAAGCTAATGATGTAGGGAAGGGTAGATAAGAGAAGCTAATTATTAACTACAAAGCATTGATAAAAGCATTCAAAGAAAATGGCCATTATAGCTTAATTCTGTCAAGGATACTGCCAAGACTTAATTGTGGTGATGAAATTATAAGTAAGTCACTGGGGGCTGAATACTAGGTGAAAGTAAATATGTGAGGATGATCAAGTTAGTTGGATGAATTTGTTAGATCAATTCATTAGGAAAAGGGAGCTTTTGGGTTTACCTTTAAACAGGGTAAGGACTAGCTTGTTTGCTTTAAACTAGGTCTACACAATGGTAAGGGTCAGAACAATCAAGAAAAAAATTTAATTTACAGAAAAGCATAGGGTAGGAACAAAGTACAAAAGTAGTTTTAATGGGAAACTAAACTGCTCCTGTTGTAATAATAAAAATATAAGATATAAAGTGGATGATCTTAAAGCACTGGTCAGATTTTGGTATAATGCAAATAAATGAAACCTGATCAGATGTATACAATTTTGATGAAAGTAATTCCTTGAAAATACAGGGTAATAGGATAGAGTACTAAAAAGAGGGAGGAAGAGTGGCTTGATATGTAAAATGGGAGTTACATTATGTTCAAACTGAGGATATCAAAGCTAAAAGCAATGAAGATGAATCTGTTTGAGTTTCTGATAGTGATTATAAGGACAGAAGACTCTAAGTTGGAATTTATTACAGAACACCAAATAAAACTGAAGAAATTGAAGAGAAACTCTCTAGTGAGACAAAGAATTCAGCTATAAATGAGTTTATAACTGTGGGAGTTTTTAAGTTCAGGCATATACAGTAAGAAATTTTAGAATCAAATCATGTGGGAGACAGGTTTTTAGAAACTGTTCAAGATGGTTTTCTTCACCAATTCATTGGGGAACCTCTTAGACAAAATGCTATTTAGATTTAAGTCCTAATATAGAAATAGTTGACAGAGTGAATACTGGGAAATATCTGAGTATAAGTAAATCTGATGTTTTGCTGCATATGGAGATGAAAATAATGATATTTTGGTTTGAAATTTCAAAAGAAATTTTGAAGGGATGAGACAAAAACTATCTGCTGCGAACTGGGCAAACTGATTTAATTGGAGATACTAACCAAATGTGGAAAATTTATTAAAATAAATTCTTAAATATTCAAGACAGGTATGTTCCTTATAGAAAATAAAAGGTGGCTGCAAGTAAGACACCAGGTTAGCTCACAAACTGTATAAAGAACAAAATTAAAGAAAAGCATTATAAATATAAGAAGTTTAAATTGACTGCAATTATGGGAGATATGGAGGATTACAAAAGTTTAAGAGAGTTGGCCAAACAGGAAATAAAAAAAACTATATGAAAAAAAGGTTGACTAAGAATGTAAAAGTTAATAGTTGGGATTTTTTTAAATACATTAAGGATAAATAAAATGTTGGGATGGGAGTTAGGCTTTTGAAGGATGATACAGGAGTGGTAATATCTGATAATTATGGAACGGCTGGATTATTAAATTCTACTTTTATTCAATTCTTATTACCAACAATTTAGGCAATATTTCTTATCCTAAACAGTTGCTAGACAGAAACAAGATCAAACAAGATGGTCACATTCACATTAATTCTGAGCTTGTTAATAAAAAATTGGGAAGTTTAAAGAATGATAATGTCCCAGATAATATTCACCCAAGGGTTTTGAAGAAGGTTAAGGATTGGATATGTGAACTACTTTTTACTAGTTTTCTAAGTCCTTGAATAGTGGGTAGGTGCCAGAAGATCGGAAGTTGGTTAATGTTACTCCTCTTCTCAAAGGGGGGTTATAAAAATTGTCTTTGTAATTATTGGCCAATTAGTCTTACATCAATGATGGGAAAAGGCTTTGAAAATCTGATAAAAGATGCTTTGCAAAATCATTTAACAAGGTTTAAAATTTTGTTTAATAATTAGTATGGTTTCACTAGAGGTAAGCCGTACGTTACTAATCTTTTGAAATTCTTTGAAGAGGTTACTGCTTATGTGGTTGAGAGTACAGGCGAGGATTTGTTGTACCTAGATTTTCATAAAGCATTCGATACTGTGCAACATAAATAGCTTTTACAAAAAGTTCTCTGTATGTGAGGGGGTATAGGTTGTCTCATTCGATAGAAAAAAGGCTAGATGGAAGAAATCAGAGGGTTGTTATAAATGGAGTTTAGTGAAGCTGGTTTAATATCACAAATGGGGAATCTCAGTACTCAATGTTAGGACCTTTGTTATTTTCAATTTATATCAATGACACAGATGAAGGAATGATCTATAACTTATTTAAATTTGTTGATGATATTAAAGTTTTTGGCATTGCTGGCTGTAAGGATGCTGCTGCATTACAAAAGGATTTAGATTATTTGGCAAGTTGGACAGATAAATGGAAGATGTCTTTTAATAATAATAAATGCAAGATAATGCATGAGGGACATCAAAATTTGAATATATAGGTATAAGTTTGATAAGAACAACCTTAACAGCAGTATGGTAGAGAAAGATCTTGGCTTTCTGGCTGATCAGTCTCTTAAGCCATCCAAGCAATGTACTGTTCCTTGTGGTAGAATAAATAGGATTTTAAGTTGTATCCATGGATATACTAAATACAAGTCTAAAGAGGTTATAATGTAATTTTATACATTGTTGGTTAGACCACATTTGGAGTACTGCATTCAGTCTTCAGCTCCTTACCTTAAATTTAAAATGTACACTGAACTGTTATAATGTTCAGTGAAGGGCTACTCATATCACACCTGGGGTGGAAAGGTTGTCATAGAAGGATGTGTTAGGTTTTCTGAAACTGGTTATTTTTAAAAAAAGAAGTTAGGTAGGATCTGATTGCATCAACACTATCAACTCCCTTTACACTTACAAGTTACAGTCATAATGCATCATCTTTTTTTCGTATTTAATACTAATAGTGAGAATGGTAAAACTAGGGGACACAAATTTAAATTCTGTCAGGGTAAGAGTTACCTTCAGCTAAAACAGCTTTATTTTTCTAACAGGATGGTTGGCCTTCGGTCGTTTGGAATGTGTTGCTTCAGACATGGTAGATGCTTTTAATTGAACTTAATCCTTAGGGGAGTTTGTTTTTTGTTAGTTTGTTTTTGAATTTCGCGCAATGCTACACGAGGGCTATCTGCGCTAGCCATCCTTAATTTATCAGTGTAAGACTAGAGGGAAGGCAGCTAGTCATCACCACCCACCGCCAACTCTTGGGCTACTCTTTTACCAACGAATAGTGGGATTGACTGTCATATTATAACGCCTCCACGGCTGAAAGGGCGAGCAGGTTTGATGGGACGGGGATTCGAACCCGCAACCCTCAGATTGCAAGACGAGCGCCTTATCCACCTGGCCCGGCATGGCCAGGCCTTAGGGGAGATTAACGGAAGTTTTGATAAATATTTGAATGGTAAGCGCTTGCTGCGAGTGTTTTATTTTTATTTTAGAGTTTATTATATTGAATGTATGTACAAAAACACAAATCAGAGAAAATAAGTTAGGGTATGGCCCACCGTTAAGTAAACTTCCTTCTTCAATTCTTGAAAGTTGAATTAAATTTTAAGTCGTTAATTGACTAGAGTTTAATTTACTTCACATGAAACTTTGAAAGTAAAACAACAGGTTGAAGAGAAGAAATATAACCCAGTAAATTAAGTCAAATGTTTATTTTAATATACTTTAAACATAACTCACCTCCGTTATATTTCTAATATAATTATAATATAAACGTCACACCTAACCCTAAAACTTTGTGAAAGCAGATTGAAGAATACAAATAAAAAGCAATGCTGGCGCTACGACAACACGCTTTAGTCCTATGTTGAAAATATGAATATATAAAAATGTTATATCATGCATGTCACTGTATAATTTTAACAGATACAAATAAGTCAAAATATTAAAATATATATATATAAATAAAATAACGACCTTTATCTCCAGATTGTAACTTTATTAGAGAAATATTTCGTTAATGAAGTTTCATTGTGGATATATAGGTCGTTATTTTATTTACGTTTATAAGAATATCTCGTAATAAACTCCAGTTTGGGTTAAATAAAGTCAAGAATAATTAAAATATATATATACACTTAATCAATGCTACTACAGAATCAGTGCTGTTGTTGGATTCTTAGCGCAAAGCTACACAATGAGATATATGCACTTTCTCCACTGAGAGGAATTGAACTCCATAATTTAGCGCTTGAAGTCCAGAAACTTACTCCTGACTCACCAGATGACACGAACAGTGTTATAAGTACATTTCAGGGCGAAGAAGGAAATATAACTGACATTTTAAATGATTTTTTTAACAGAAACTGATAGGTCAGAAATCCCTTAGATTCAGATACAGTCATTTCTCATTTGGAACTACTTAGCAGAATGAGAGCAACTAATTAAGAGTACCCGTTGCCTATGCTGTTACTTTAACTGATTTGCGTGATTCAATGCCACACTTATAACACTCCCAAAGTTGAAAGTGATGAGTGTATTGAGCACCATATTGCGGCTCGAACCTAAAATCTTAAGATATGTAACTCATTGCGTTAAGTATTAAGCCAAGCCTAGACCATTTTTGAAAACTCATCAAATGTATTATAAATAAGAAATTAAGATTCATGAAAAATAATTATATTTAATTTATATATGTATATATCATGTTGTACAATTGTCTTTTATTGTATTGTTATAGTTTATGTTTTTGCTTGTTATTTAAATTTAGACGTTTGTATTATTATTTAGCCAAAAAGAGTTTTGACGTAGCGTGATATAAGTTACTTCATGGTGTGGCATTTTAATATACTGTTACGTCTCATCGTTTGTTAATTTCCCGTAAAAATACTGTTACGTCTCCGTTTATTAATTGATTTCCCGTAAATTCGTTCCGATGAAACTTTAGCGACACAAGTCCTTACTTAATAAAACTGGTTTATTCTTTCCGAATATAACTTTACGATATACTTAATTTCAACAACCGCGCTAAAACAAACGCTATAACAACGAACGTGCTCAACTTCATTAATACTCTCTGACTGCAGATCAATTACTCACTGTTTACACACACACATTATTGTTCGTCACGTTGTCACCGTCTTTTATATACCAGACTACCCTATATCTAGTAAATGCTAGAGCATTCGCCAAGGTACAGGATAGTTCTAGAAACCAGGTGGCGTGAGAATAGTCACGTGATCTCGCTGACGCAACACTGCCTTAATATTGTTCGTCCCGAACAATAACCACATCCAATAAACCAATAACAATTAACAATAACTTAAGTAAATGTACAGAAATACAATCACAAAATTACAATTCAATAAAGTCTCTTAATTTTACGGGACGTATCTTCTTCCGTACTGGTCTCCGTCTTGTTGGCTTCTGCTTCACGTGGGGTTCATCTGCTTCATCAGGAAATGTCCTATCATCGGTAACAGTCACATCAGTGGTAGTAACTTCATCAAGGGCTTCACTGTTTCCCTTCTCAAAGCCGAGTACATTTTCTTCTTCGAAAATGGCTTTTCCAGGTGACACATCTTCAGCGGCGTCTTTTATTCCATTGTTCACTTCGTCCCAACTGAAATGTCCTTGACCGTGATAACGCCAAAGCCTGTTGGCATGCACCACTTTTGGCTTTCCTCGCTGAGCAAATTTTATCCAGAAAGTAAC